AAGGATATACAACCTTAACTTCTCTTCTATTTTATATCTCCTGGATTTACTAATTCAGTAACCTCTTAATGGTATCAATTAGCTTATCTTCATGCTCTATTAGTATCAATAAATTATGAGGCACGATGTAATCATTTGAGTTTTCTTCATTATCAAGTTTTCAACATGAATTGGGTTTTTCGAAATCAAATCCAAGATTATTGTCATGATTATCTTCACATTTATTATTTGGCAACCTGTAAATGGGTGAGATCAAGAGAATATTGGCACACAACAGTGGATTGGCAAGGAAGAATGAATGAAAATAAAAATAATAAAAGAAATATAGATGCATCTTCTAAGTCTTTTATTAAAATGATGAACTTGAAACACAACATAAAAGATCTCCTAATGTTTATGAATAAGCAATTAGGCATTTAAAGTTTCATAATATATTACTTTTCAAAAGTTGATAAGATAACAGGTAGCTCTATGACTTTCTAATTATTTAACTTAAAACACTGAAAAGAATAGGCACACAAATAGATCTTCAATTTGGCTCTTTTTTTTTTTCTCATCCATTATCTGAATGGCCAATTCAGAAAAGACTGTAAAAATTTCTATATTTGGGGCTTAGGTGAATTTGGATAGTTACACTCTCTCGATTGAAAAAAATTATAAAGGTAAGGAATAACCATCAATTTTGACTCTAACTCACATTCTTTGATATTAGCCACTCTTTTTTCTTTCTTCTCATTTATCATTTTCATTTATCCCCTCTTGTTGGCTTATATCCCAAGCTGAATATATCTTTCTTGTCATAATTATTGGTGGCTCCATGATTCTTACAAATTCTTCCCTAATTCGACTTCAGATTGCCATTCTATTCCAGTAAGTTGCTTGACAACCATTTAAATAGTAACAGATAAGTGCGATGAATATAATTTAAACTTTTTAGCCATATATGTAGCATTGGTAATCTCAAAAGATCAATAGGAGCATTCCCAAGCTTCGTCTGTAGCTTTCATATAAGGGGTATTCATAAGTTGGGTTATCAATAAATCTTTTTTTTCCTATTACACATGTTAGTTTTCCATCGATGATGAATTTAACTGTCTGGTGCAGCGAAAATGGAACAAGGTATACCATATGAATCTATAACTTATCCAACAAGTAGTTGTATTAGGGCGAGATATCCAAAACTTAAAATTTCACATTAAAGGTGCAAAGACCAATCTATAGTGGCATTTTTATGTCCTTAAGTACCTCTCGTCGAGTTTCATCAAAGGCTTGAATAACCCATATGACTAGACTTCATGTATGATACATTAACGGTAGTTTTGCCAATGTAGTTATAGGCATGATATTAATTGAAGAGCCATTATCAATTAGAACCTTTGTCACTATATGACTCTTGCACTTAATAGTAATATGAAGAGCCTTGATACTTTTTTATCGCTTTGAAAGAATCTTTTCATTACTAAAAGAAATGTAGTTTAAAACCACTAAATTACCAACAAACTATTTTACATACTCAATAGATACATTATGAGATACAATTGCTAGATTCAATACCTTTAGTAAAGTACTATCGTTGGATTCTAAGCTCAATAAAAGTGATAATAGTGAAATTGTAGCTAACATCTTATTTAACTATTTTACCATGCTATATTCACTATGCTTTATCAACTTCAAAAATTCACAAGCCTCATTTTCAATGACTGACTTTTAGTTTTTTTTATTAGGGACTATCAAAGGGTTACTTTGACTTCTTTGTTCACCTTCAACTTTTACTTTTTTTTCTAGCTTTCTCTAGCATTTTCAGAATGTAACATCGCCCACTTTAAGTTACACCTCCTACTCTTGTTATATTTGTAGTATCTGAATTGATCATAACATCATAATCGTACTTTCATCGTACTACTTTGTTGTTTTAATATGAAAAAGGGCTAGGAACTTTGATAGTCAAAACTGATCGAGAGATAGGCTTTTTCAGCATTAGAGTTGGCTTTTCATCATAATAGATGGTCACAAGTTTATGCACAAACTTTGTCAGTGTATCAAAGGTAGCCACTTTAGCTTTTATCAAATCTTTTATCTCTTTATATAACTTTATCTGACCTATGTCCATTAATTTTTGTACCTTATGATACAACTGATCATAATTCTTGATAGAATGCCTTGAAACACACTTTTGATAGTCACAACTTTCAGCTGATTTAATCAACTTATGAAAATTGTAAGGCTCTATCGATTTTAGCATATCAACCTTAACTAAGGCTTTAAAAACTTAAGCCATCAAAGTTTTAACTTCATCTATCATTCTTTTAACATAGCACTCATAATCATCAATCAAACCATTTATTGTTGGTCTAGTATGATTTGATAGAGGATTTTCATTAACAATTGAAACCCTTCGCTAGTTAGTACTGAAGTTTAATACTTTTTTTATTAACTCTTGCACCTTATGCTTTAAAACAGTGTAATTTTTTATAGAATGGCCTAAATTTTTATAATGATATTCACAATATGCATTAGGATCATACCATTTGAGATACAAAGATTTCAGTTGTTCACAAAAAATAGGTACTAGCAAATGATTCTTCATAAGCTGAGAGAATAGGTTGATATATGTCATGAGAATAGAGTCAAAAGAGGTTTTTTTTTAGTATTTTTGGGGGCTCTTGGAACACTACCTTGGTTGGGTCTCCATTTTAATCTAATGGGTGCAGCAAGATGGTTGAGGTAAATGTTTAAAAGGGTGGCTAAAAAGAAGGTGGATAAGCTAATTGTTGGGCTGGCTGATACAGATGCAGGATGGATGTCACATTGTTTATGTAAGAGTAATAGGTTTGGTACATTGGTGCAAGGTATTGAGTGAAACTTTTGATTTGTTACACCATATAGTTCACTACTCACATTTCATTTTTTTTGGACATTCATCCTCTTTTTGTGCCACTTGTTTCTCTTACATCAAGTTTATCATTTTTTATGGCATTCTCAATAATCTCACCCGAGATCACCATGTTTGTAAAATTTTTTATTATATTTTCAATCAATTTTTCATAATATGGTACTTCATAGGTATTGACAAATAGGACATTTGTTTCTTTCTCGATGAAACGAGATTGTACTTGTGTAGCTACATCTCTCCACCTTTGCACATATTTTTTAAAGCTCTTGGTTGCTTTCTTTTTCATGCTCTATAGGGATAAGCAATCTGAAGCTAGATCCATAACATATCGATATTAAGTAAAGAATGTCTCCATGAGCTTTTTTCAATAATAGATACGAGTCCTATCTAATTGAACATACCATCTAGCTATAGAATCTATAAGGGTATATTGGAATATGTGCATTAGTAATTTTTCATTATGAGCATGCGCAACCATTTTTCGACAATAGATTGTCACATAGGTTATAGGGCATTTGGTTTCATCATATTTCTCAAAGTCATAGACTTTGAATTTAGGTGGGATGACCATGTATAAAATCAAACAAAGCTCAGTCGCATCCATAGAGCCATTAAAATCTATTCTTTCTATAGCTTTAAATATTTCTTCTAGTAATTTCATCTTTTGTTGGGAACTTGAATCCTTCATTGTTTTAGGTGCTTTCATTCCTAGACTTTCTATCTAGCACTTAAATCGAATATGAAGATTTTATTCCTAAGATAGGAATAGTTTATCCTTGAAATTAGATAGGTCTAACTGTTATAGGTACATTAGGATAAACATATAGGCACCTTCCAATGAATGGCGTTACTTATGGTTATTCCTCTTAAAAGGTTTGGGCTCGATGTGAAGTAACACCTAACAGATACAGAGGATCTTCATTATCTTGTTGTTAATGACCATCTTGAGCAACTTCTTCTTTTACCACTATCATTCTTTTTTCCATATTTCCCATCATTTTCA